TGCATGGGTTTTTGTAAAGAACAGCACAGAGCTGAAGTGCCCATCTTGTCACATCACACCAGAGTATGTCTCTGTCGTTGGAGACCATTGGTCAGGTGAAAAGTGACCGGATGAAGTGGACTTAGCAGGACCCATCTGCCTGCAGAATATGAGGTGCCACAGACAGCACAGGAAACCATGAGATGGCGTGACCAGCAGTGCAGCTCTACTCTCCCCAGCAAACCATCTGAATGGAGACTCTGGAGATACGGGTCTCTTCCAGTCCGCACGAATGCCAACCAGACTCCACATGTTAGTTTCTTCATCTGTGCAATGTAGAAGTTGCTATCTGAGGCCATTTCTAGTCTTGAAATTATGTGACTCTAGAACTTTGGGATGGGGTCTCATTGGTCAACTGTTGTCCCAACTCCCATTTCCCAAGAAGAATGTGTTGTGACGCTAAGCAGTGTCCCAACAAAATGCCTGGGCATCTGCAAAAGGGATGGCATGGTCTTTTCTCTGCTTCACTATTTGGCATTCGTAATGCTTGTATCCTAAAAATGCCACACGCTTGGCAGGACGAAAACAAATTGCAAAAACTGAGAAAACTCAACTTATTCATTCGTCCTTGTTCCTCGGACTCACCATGATTTCTGCCATTACAATGGATTAAGAACTGAATGACATAATTTGTTTTTGAAATGTCAGAGGACGGCACATGTTAGTACTTTTCATAATCTTTTAATGATGACTCTTTGCGTAGATCTTACCGGAATTGAGGATGCTGGGTGCGCATTGTTGGGTCATTTAAGTTGCCAATAATTTGTCCGGAGCCTGTGATTGCAAAACCACACAGATTTCACAATACTGGAAACCTCTAATTAACCACAATAAATGACAGGGCAGATTTTTTTTAAATGCATGGTTCATAATGCTTTAAGATCGTAAGCTGGAAGATTCTCTATTGAGGTGAAATAGGTAGGTAGGCTGCAGATGGGTTGGCAAAGTACATTTGCACTTCTGCATGTTAAATTTGAACCAGAACCATCTAGTGATATTGGATCAAATGCTCATCTGATGTAATATTCCTGTGGAAATGGTATTGGCTGTGAAAAGAGCTCTTCTTAGTAGCTGTTGTTGTTGAAGAAGAAAAGAAGAAGCAGAAGAAGCAGCAACAGAAACAGTAGAATTTGGTGGTCACTTCTAGGCACCGAGACAAGAGTAAATGTCAAGAAGGACTTTAATGTGTGTTTATATTTAAACACCAGAACTCACAGAAAACCCTGAAGCTTTGTACAATGACTAGCGCCTTGTAAGAGCCTCATTAATATATTGTTAGATGGACAGTTGGCGGGGCAACTCGAGCTGTTCTAAGGGATGCAAGAGAGTTCAGAACTACCGAGGAAGAACAGATACAGTGACAGTGATTCTGTCTGAAAGGGACGTGGCAATGCAGCTGGATCTGCTGTGCTGTCTTTGCAGCCTCTCCTGACAATGTTGGTGCCAGTTTCAACCCACGAGTATGCAGGATTGCAGATACCTCAAGCTGGCGGTCAGAGCAGTTGATTGTGAAACCTTGGAAGAAAATGGGCACATTCTTCCTAAGATGGCTTCTCACAGGCACCCTCCTTCCCCCTGCTCCCCGGATCTCACTTTGTCCCATTTCCACGTGATATGCATGAGGAACATGGAGTCTTTTCCCCGTGGCAGCTCCTACAGTGCCATCTTAGCTGGGACTGTTGTGCCATGGTAAAGTGTGCCCTGTGTCTTAAAATGAAATTGTCACTGCTGGGTGGTGCAGCATAACATGGTTTGACACTAAGCGCTGGCAGCTACAGAAAACAGACTTTTATTGCATTATTCTTTCAGAGACTCTGAAGTCTCTAAAGGCTCACAGCAGACATTCACTTAGTTAAATCTGAATGAACCCGAAGTGAGTGAATCCACGCTGGCTGCTGTCTTTGTGTTCCTAGAAACAGCCCCCATCCAGCTTGATACGCCTGTAAAACACTGTTAAGAAAAGGCGATTGTATTCAGAACCCAGAAGGGAAGACTCTGGCTTTCAAAACGCACCAAAAAAAAAATAAATAAATAAATAAAAAAGAATTGAAGGTGGGTGGACTGGGTTAGCCACCTGACCCTTTACTTTCTCCCAAATTCCCCAGAATGCACCATGTGGAATCCACACACACACACGCACAGTAATGCCCACCTAGCTTTCGTCTTCTTTTACCTTCTGTATCATTTTAAGACAATGAGAAAGGATTTGATTTGTAGGACTCTCGCAGGCAGGCTGTAGACTTAACTGCCTGTTATGGAGATGAGTGCCCAGAGAGAGATTGAACAGGGAGGGGGCTCCAGGGCATAAGCTTTTCGTTCCGTAGCTCTCCTGGAATAAAAATTCCATAAAGTAACATCTGTAGTAATTAAGGGCTTACATTTCCTCTCCCATTCATGTCTCTGCCAGGAGGGAAGGTTACTTTGCCTAAGAGACAATACACAGGAGGTTCTGTGGGAGGCAGAGAGAACAGCCGTAGAGTTCTTTTGTTCCTACACATGGAAGTTTCGGCTTCAAACAATAAATGAAGAAATCTGAAGACTAGCAGTCAAAGATTCCATTGGGAAGAAGAGTAGAAAGAGTTAGGGAAATTGTGCTTATTTGTTCCCAAGCATTTGGAAGGAAGCAAGTTTCATCGCATCTTTCTTTTTTATTCACTATCTTTTGATGTGGGAGAACTTATGAACAAAATGCTCTTTGTAAAATTGTTATCTATGAATATCGCATGTTATAAGCATCAAGATTTTTTTAAGATTTATTTGAAAGACAGAGTCACAAAGAGAGGTAGAGAGAGAGAGAGAGAGAGAGAGAGAGGTCTTTCCTTTGCTGATTCACTCCCCCAAACAGTGGCAATGGCGGGAGCTGAGCTGATCTGAAGCCAGGAGCCAGGAGCTTTTTCCAGGTCTCCGACGTGGGTGTAGGAGCCCAAGGATTTGAGCCATCCTCTGCTGCTTTCCCAGGAGCATTAGCAGGGAGCTGAATGGGAAGAGGAGGAGCTGGGATACCAATTGGCACTGCAGGCCAAGGCTTTAACCCTCTGCACCACAGTGCTGGTCCTAAAATTTTCTTTTTATTTGGATGTCAAATTGATTTCTTCTGAAAATACTCTTTATGTGGCCCTGTTGTGTCTTCTGATAAAATGAATACTAACTGTTAACATCACATTAAGTGCCCTGTACTTTCTGGTTACAGCCCCACGAAAGACAATGATGCAGAACTCCTTGTTTAATTTTTAAAAACTTCCAGAAGATGACAACAGAGCTTTAAACTAAGTGGAGGGTTGTTCTAAGAGTGGGGCTCCATAGAAGGACACAGGTCCCAAGCCCTAGAAATCAGACCTGCTTGAATGGAATAGAGTTGCCCCAAGGACCAGACAGAAAGACATATCATAGAAACGCTCAATTGCACAGCACACTATCAAATATTGTTGCAAGTGTGGCTCCCGTGTGCAACCTGCTCATGACGCCGTCTTCAGGGTGTTAATCCCATGTTCCAGATGCCTCGTCTGCATCTCCCTGTTTCTCTGAGAGCGTCTGGGGGAACGTTCCATGCAGCCACATGACTTTGTCCGCCCCTCTGTACATAGAACTCAGGCCCATCACCTGATCACTTCAGCCCTCTGCCCTGTTTATTCTCCAAAGGCTTTCTCTGCCCTGTCTGCTCACCACCCAGCACTTCCCTGGCCTCTGGGGTTCCTCTCACATTCGAAGTCCTGTATTTTAATAAATATGCATAACTGATTTGGCATTTGTTGGGATATTTTTCCTGATTTTTGTCTCCTCTGCATGTAATATGGCCATGTGATATTGTCTTTGAAAAGGTATCTAAAATTTAGATGTTGCAAAGTTATACAACTTGTACCAACGGGCTCCATTCCAAGAAAGCTCATATTAACAACATAGCAGAAAATCTAGCATTATATCTTGTCTTTTGTATAAATTTCACACACCTTTCAAGTCTACGTGTGCTGTTTTTCAATTTGATTTAGCCTCTGATGTACCTTATATGGACTTAATTTCCTTTCATCAGGATCAACTATTTAATTTTTAAAATAATAATGGCCAGGTATAATTTATTATTTAAACATTGTTACAAATACAAGTGCCCTTATGGTATGGCAAGACTTTCAAGTTGGAATTGTGATAGTATGACTCAACGTGTTGATTCCTCACTGTGACTTAGATGCCAAAATTTGAAACAAGAATCCCAGTTTGGCCATATTGTTATCCAGTATGAAAAAAGAAATAGTTCTCCAAAATTCAAAATTAATAAACTATAACACCTGAGGTGTTTTCATTTGCATTTTGCTGTCATCTGTAAGACCCCAAATAACTCTCTTTGGATCTCTTTCACCCAATGGGAATTCTGTAAATGTGCCGTGGGCTGATGTCTACATGACTGTGCTGATCACTCCTTTAGCCTGCAGGCTGTTCAACTAAAACCCATTTCTCCACCTTGTGCTGTGGAGAAGCCCCACGATAGTGTAGGAGTTTCCATGCAAGCTAGAGTGTTGGGCATGTGTAGGTTCAAGTCCCGGCCCTCCTACCCATCAGAAAGGTATTGGTCTCTCTAAGCCTCAATGCCCTCTCTGATATGAAGGCATTCATATCAATTATAATAATAATAGGGACTATCTTATGGGTCAGGTAATTCAGTCATTTAACAGATATTTATTGAGGGTTTTCAATTTACAAACTTCACTGTGTAAATTAAATTAGTGCCTCAGGGTTTCCTCTGGGCGGGGACTTCCAGGCAGCTTTCAAGTAGAGTGGATGATGCCTTTGGCAGTGATGAGTTTGATGTCCTATCAGCCTGGTCATGCTGGTCATGATAACAGTTGGCAACTCGGGTGAATTTTTCCAATCGAGTTTTTCTGGGATTTCTTCTGCAGTTTAACCTTGCTTTCCTTGGACAAGCATAACTTGTTGAAAGCATATGATCCCTGTTTATCTTCTTTTCCTAGAATGGAGTCTACTGAAAAATGTGAAGTGGTAATTCAACATTTTAATGGGAAATACCTGAAAACACCGCCAGGCATCCCAGGTAATGAATGTCATTAAAATAATCTCTAAATAGCGCCTATGGTTATTGCTATTATTAGAATGAGTGCATGGGCAGACCCTTGGTTGGTGATTGCCAGTAAATGTGTGCCTTTATAAATGTGTATCATCTTTCTGAAAAGTTTCTTGATAATTCTTATTTGGCTTTTCTTTGACTCTCTGCTGCTAATTTACTAAAGTGATATAGAAGAAAAATACAGCAAAGAATAATTAAAGAATGCACTTTAAGTGAAAGAAGTTTTTAACTTCCATCATTAATATTTAAGTCCTGGTTTCTGATTTCTAAAGGATCTCAACAGTGATATTCACAGTGAAATCCACAAATTGATGTGTGTAAGGCCGCCAACAGACATACCAAACACTGGAGTAAGGGAAAGGATTTATTGGGGGAAACCCACAGCCTGGAGGAAAGGGGCGAATAAGGAAAAGAGGGAGAAGGAGAGCATAAGACAGAGAGAGAGAGAGATCAGGAGATGGAGAGAAAGAGAGCCATGTGTTCAGGAACAGGTCCTTTTAGAACTTTGCCAGGGTGTGGGCAGGGAAGTAGGAGCAGCGAATCCCATTAGGATGGGGGTGGGGCTGACACTGGTGGTTGGGCCATAGCTTCCAGCAATGGCAGCAGGGTCTAGAGCCTAGGGTGGTGTCAGGGTGTAGATCGTGCCATAGATAAGACTGTGCCATTTTACTAACAATGTGTGTCCTCAAACCTTTCTTGGTGCCCTGTGACAAGAAAACCACAGAAATTAGGAGTACTCAGGAGTTTCTAAATTAGGAGCATTTAGAAACTTCTATAGCAATTAGACACCTCCATGAAACCTGAGTACATTATTTTATATTTTACAAAAATATCAATTACTGATAGATTAAAATTTTTAAAAATCTGGTTTAGTCATCAACAATGGTTTGAAATATCCTAATCTAGACTATCTCAGGCCATCTCACAGTTCCTTGAGAAAAAATCCCTAAGGATTACACGCAGCATAAAATTATAAAATTTTATGCTATTAAGAATTGCATTCAGCATAAAATAATTGAGTAGATCATAGGTATCAGAGATATAAATCCCTCAATATTAATCTGACAATGGTATATGGGAAAGGTGTTTGGGAATCTTTCAAGATATAGCTAAACCAGTAGAGCTGTTAGAGAAAGGTCTTTAACATATTTTAAAATGTATCTCACCAGTGCACCAAAAAATTAAAGATTGAGTAAAGTGCTAAACTAAGAAAAAATACAAGGAATAAAGAACTATCTGACAAATGAGTCTTGGTTTATTTGTTTCCCTTTTGTTTATGGTGATTCTCAAGGGAAAAGTGAGTTTAGTCTTATAGTACTTTTTTTTTTTTTTCTCTTTTTAAGCTGGTGTTTGCTATGTAATGCATCTACTACTTAAAAAATAATTAGGTGTTGAGTACTTTAGTGCCTTAAAATAGATTGTGGTGATGCAGAAGGGGAAATACGAACACAACGAGAAAAACTTTGGCGGAGGAGCCAGAGTTTCTTTTCTGATGTGTTGGTTTGTGAAGGATGTCAGAAGACTAGAAAGACTTCATTCTGACACTTGGATGATACAGAAAATCCAAAGTAGCCTATCACTGGCTAATCAGCGAACCAACATACAGCAAAGACGGTGCCTTGATTTGGTTAGCTTCCATGCGTAACGCTCCCTGGAGAGCTGACTGCATTGTGATCCAGTTGGAGACATATGGTGTTGTTAAGAAAAGAGTTAGCAGTTTTCATCTCAGCGTGTAAGCTGCCCTTGCATTTTAGGAGAAATGCTTTTTTTTTTCCTTTTAGCATAAACAGACATTTTAAAACATTCTGCTTAGACCCATCATTGAATGAAGGGATTGGATTGTTAGTGGATTTTCCCTTTATTTATCTCATTTTACTCACAGATGCCTATGTATATAGAAGACATTCAAACTAGGTGTGAACTATATGTTATATAAAAAATTCAAAAATGAGAATACCATGTAGATATTATTGTTGATTAAAGCTTGGAGTCTCAACATTTTAGTTCCCCTCCTAATTGGAAAAAGTCATTCTGAAATCCTTGACCTGATCAATCTGAAAGTATTTTATTTGGTTGTCCCCAAAGAACATGCAGCTGACTAATACAGTTTAACACAACAAAGACTAAAAAAGACACTACGAATCCCTAAGTGTCTGGGCATCCTGCCTAAATACACAGGCTATGACATTAACCTATCTAATATCACAGCTACACCCAATGGAAGTGCTGTGAATAGCAGGAACTTGGTTGTGGGTTTCTTACGTTTTAAAAGCATGTTTGTTTTATTTATTTTCATCTACTTGAAAGATAAAGGGGGTGGGGAGAGAGAGATTCTCATTCATCTGCTGGTTCATTCCCCAAATGACCAGAACAGCCCTGGCTGGGCTAGGCAGAAGTAAGGTAAAGCTAAGAGCCTCAGACTCCATCAGGGTCTCCACTTGGGTACCATGGGCTTAAGTCATTGGGCCTTCATCTGCTGCCCCCCAGAATGCTTTAGTAGGAAGCTGGAAGGGAAGTGGAGCAGCTGGAGCTGGAACCAGCACTTCGATATGGGATGAGGGCATCCCAAGCGGAGGCCCACCATGCCCACCCCTCTTACTCATTTTTATCTCATGAGAGCAAGAAAGGAAAAAATAATTATGCCATCACAAAACTCCTATGAGATACAGCTTTCTGTTTCTGACATTTGCAATCAATATAGTAGAATTAAATATACAATATTGATCATCATCAGTTCTTGACTTTTCTTATTTAACATTGCTTTGGAAGTCAAATAGAGATTAATAAAGGATTAAAATGCTAACTGAATATATCTAGTCTTTGATGCTTCAATTTTATGTAGAATAAAAGAAGACAATGTAAGCTATGAGTGTTTAGGAGAGTGTGGTAATAAAATGTCCTTATTGTGTATTATTAGTAAGGAATGACATGTACAGCCACATTTTCATATTTTCTGTCTGTCTTTATTGGTCCCTGTTGCTGATTTGTTTAGGAGAGTTGAAAGCGTACTTTGATAAACTCAATTCTATTTTCTATTCTGTCTTGAAGAAAGAATAGAGTGTCACCATGAGCCCTGATTATCAGGTTATGAATAATTTCTATGATATTTTTAAAAGAAGTGATCAGTTTCCTAACCCTCTTCAGTACTTTAGAGAGCTTTTCTTGCTTGTAGATATACTAATTAAAACTAACTGTAATAGATCTGACTTACCTAAAACTAAAATAGAATTGACAAAATCTTACAGTCCCCATACTCTGCCTAATCAGTATTTGCCATCTTTGGAGTCAGCAATTTTTTTCCTATATAACTATACATTGATTGATTCAATACAATGATTTAAAATTGTGTGGATGAGGGACTCACAGTGGTCCAATAAATAAGTCTTTGAAAAGATAGAATGTCAGGTCAAGACCTGACTTTAACCTTACTATATGCAAGTATGGGGCAACTGATGCTAGATTCTTATTGTTTAAATCTCCATTTAGGGGCCACTAGAGAAATGTACATGAGTCTTTGGGAAAATACAGTGCCATTTTTACTTCTGTTACTTTTGACAGTAATGTGTACTCTGATGGGGGTGCAAGGTCAGGCATTTTGATACACTGGGTTAGGCTGCCCACTGGTGTGTCTGGTTCCCCATATGATGGTGAGATCCAGTGCTACCTCTGCATGAAATCCATTTCCCTCCTTACTAATGCACTTGGGAGGCAGTAGGTGATGGCTCAAGTACTTGAGTCCTTGCCATCTGCATAGGAGACCCTGAAACACCCTAGCTGTGGCAGGCCAGCGGGGGAGTGAATCAGCAGATGGAAGATCTGTGTCTGTCTGTCTCTCTCTCTCTCTTTCTCTCTTTCTCTCTTGTACATGTTCAGTCTGCCTTTCATATAAATAAGAGTAAATAATTATTTTAAATTCATATTAAAAGTCAGTTATATTCCTGAGATGATCACCTAAATTACATAATCCCTATTAGTTGTTTATGAAAAAGAATAGGAGCCGGCGCCGTGGCTCAATAGGCTAATCCTCCACCTTGCGGCGCCGGCACACCGGGTTCTAGTCCCGGTCGGGGCGCCGGATTCTGTCCCGGTTGCCCCTCTTCCAGGCCAGCTCTCTGCTATGGCCAGGGAGTGCAGTGGAGGATGGCCCAGGTGCTTGGGCCCTGCACCCCATGGGAGACCAGGAAAAAGCACCTGGATCCTGGCTCCTGCCATCGGATCAGCGCGGTGCGCCGGCTGCAGCGGCGGCCATTGGAGGGTGAACCAACGGCAAAGGAAGACCTTTCTCTCTGTCTCTCTCTCTCTCACTGTCCACTCTGCCTGTCAAAAAAAAAAAAAAAAAAAGAAAAAGAATAGGAACAAAGAAACTTCCAACCAAAGTTTTAACTAATTCAAATTTTAAAACACTTCACAGTTAAGGACATCTACAAAGGCATTTGACATTGTACATGTTTATGTTGCTGTGCCCATTTTGTTTTTAATCATTATGGGAATAATTTGCTCATTTGGCATGATTCATATTGGCATTGGGCTTCAGTAACTGACAGATCATGTGAGTTGGAAGGTAAGTTTGTAAGTATCTTGTTCTGAGTTATGCTTTCCCTCTCTTTGGCCTCCTGCTATGTATTTATGAAATATCTGACTTTAATGAATAGGTCATGGGTTACTAATGCCCATCAGTGCCTCCCAGAACTAACTGTACTCATTTAGATTATAACGTTAGCTCCAGATTTTGGTTACCTGAATCAATGAAGCTGTACATCTATGACCCAATCAAACCACTGAAAACCAGTGTATATAGTCCAAAGATCAAGCATCACCCTTAGCAGAAGAGAAAGAGAGGCCAGAGGGGTGTGTTAAAGCAGTGTCAGTCACATCAGTGTTATTGCCATCCGCAGAGAGAGAGATCATCCAGGATCTCCCCCAGGGAAAGAAAACGCAGCGTTCCATAAATGTTGCATGTCCTACAG